AATGTCTAATATCTATTTCAGTAATATTGCAGATTGCGTTGCCTAATCTTCGAATTGGACGTTTATATTTTTGCAGACTTTAGAGCAATTTGGCTTCCGATTCTCAAAAAAGCATCGAACTACAGAGCGAAAGCATTTTTCGATGTCCATCAACAAAAAGTGGAATGAAAAATGGATAATTCATATCCTTGATCTCTCTAATCATTCCGATATGTTTATAAATTGACGCTGCTCTGCGGGGGGCGTGGAGAGAGAGATGAACGGTGCGCAATGAACTGGAAGTTGATCTGTCAGCACTATCCTTATCTTCATGCAGTTGTTTTTATTTTATTCGCCTATAATTCCTTACTAATTTAGTATTCATCTCGATTTACTCTGATATGATTTAAATCAAATTCCTCGTCATTATATATGACGAATACACTCAATTGTTTTCTGTTTGCAATTTTCTTTTGACTATGTGTAATGTATGCCTTACGCATGCGCTCGTTGAAAGAGATGTTTAATAAAGTAAACAAGTAAATATAAAGCTTTTTTTTTTTTTTGTAAATTTTGATGCTCTTTATTTCATAAATTATGGTTTCATATTTTTAATTTTATAATTTCTGCATGCCATCTTACCAGATTTAAATTGATGATCTATAATCCGGAATCGCCTGACCAGTCCGGATTAAAGACTTTTGACTGTAGTAGGTCTTCAATGGTAGATTGAGTTTGAATAATGAAACATTACATGTTCTGTAAGGATGTCACTCCTTAAATTTGAGACTGAGTTATGCTGATACGTCAACACAGTATCTCTGTTTATGATCATCCAGTGTATCTGTAGTCTTTTCTCAGTAAGGAAGTTGAGCTGAAGGTCTTGCTTCTTAGCTGCTTTCTCCATCACAAGATGGGAAGCTTGATTTGAACCCATGAAAATATGTATATTCTAATACTCAATGTTCACTAGATTGTCACTGATCTTTCAGAATCAGGGCTTAAATTCAGTCATTGCCTACCAGAGTCTGGTTCTAATACTCTTTCTGTATTTAAACTGAGATGATAATCTCAGGAGCACCACACCTGAACTGATTCAAGATGAGCTTTGATTCTGTGTTTTGCAAATTTATCCCAAAATAAGTAGAAAATTATGCTACTAAAATATCATTTTATTAGTTAATAAAAGGGACATTCATTCAGGCTACTTAATGCATGCTTCACTTTCATGTAGAACAAAATATATAAATAAACTTGAGCACAGGAGGAACAAATTTTGAGTTTTACATGTTCTCCAATTCTTTATCTCTTCAGTAAGAGGAGTGTTTGCAGACTTATTCTATTTGAGTCATAATGCCTTTAAATGAATTATAAGCCAAAATAAGGGAACAGCTTCATTGTATCATAATGTTCAAAATTTTATGCATACAGTTTTCTTGTATCTTTGGTATGACTTCCCTTGTTATCATTAATTTAATTACTTTCATTTCATTTGCCTTTCTTTATTTACTCATGGTTTTATATTCCATTATGTGGGCAATCCCAAAAAATAAGGTCTCCTATTGTTTGGGGCAGTAATGACACTTCAAGTACATTTATTGCCCTTACTGTTGTGAGTGGCTCTTCGTGCACTCCCAAATAAGGATGCATGCTCATCATTGGGATTCTTAGTCACGGCTTTGCAGCCATTCAAGATAGAGCTCCAATTGAACACTACTGCCAAGTGCAAAGATCACACAGTTGTACCCTTTTTGAATGTAAAGGGTTTCATCCAGTTGAAATTCATCAGCGATTTATGGAAGTGTGTGCATGATCATGCATGGATGTAAGAAATGTTTGCAAATGGTGTAGGGAATTTACAGCCAGTCATACCAAAATTCACGATCAAGAAAGGAGTAGTAGATCATCGATTTTTGATGAGAAAATCATGAAGGTTAAGGAAAACATGCTTTAAGATTGGAGGATGAGTGTGGATGCTCTCTGCATGTTGGTTCCTGCAGTTTTCCAAAGCACCATCCACAGGATTTGAATGGAAAAGTTGCAGTATCAGAAGATACTGTAACATTTCCATTAGAATTTTGAAATATTTTATTGGGACAGCAAGATCGGTACTTTGTATCCTGACAGAAGTCCACCATTGGCAGTAAGTTGATTCTTCCCATGAATTTCTTCACTGCAATGCAGATGTAAAGGGCAACTTCTTGGACTTGATTGTCATAGGTTACAGTAAACCTCGACATTCCACTTCACAACTGACCAAAATACAGTGATGCAAGTAGTGCCATCTCTCTTTGCCCAAGCCACAAAAGTTCAAACAAACAGTCTGCTGGTAAATTCATGTCAACTGTGTTTGGGGACTATAGGGGGATTTGTTTATTGACTGTCAACCTACTGGGCACATAATAAACGCTGACAGCTACTGTGGAACACTGAAGAATCTCAAAAGGGCAATTCAGAACTGGTAAAGAGGAACATTGATCAAAGGCATAACCATTCTCCACAACAGCACTCACCCACATGCTGCCCCTCAAACTGTCACTATCTTGTAAACTTTGGTTGGAACAGCATCATTGATCTACCATATAGTCCGGACATAGCACCCGACACCGAAGTGAAAGTGAAGTTCAGTGCATCCTGAAGGACATGGTTGTGAGCTGGTGTGACATGAGCATTGTAAAACTGCCACAGCATCAACAAAAAGTTCATTGACCGCAATTACGATTATGTAGAAAAATAAGGCAGTTTTCAAGCTTCAAATTGATTTAAGTATTATAGAAAATAAATGGTTGTTTGTATATCGAAAAATATAGGAGTCATTATTTTGGGTATTGCCCTTGTATATCTGTTTGTTCAATTGTCTTCCTCTGAGACTTATTTTAGACATGAATGTGTTTTAAGAATACAAGTCTAAAAATGATTTCGAACAATGTGAGGCTCTTCATTTCAAATATCAGATTATGTGCTTCATACTTCACTGGTTATTTGGTATATTCTTTTCTAAATGTAAATAAATCTATCCGAGCACTCACATTTGTCATCTCAAAGAGTCAATCCAACTTTTAAAAATTTTGGAAGAGTTCTTCACTAATTATTAGAAAAGGTAGTGGATTCAAAAGCATTACTATGCTTGAGGTCCAGGAATGAACAGAAAAGATAGATGTTGAACCTTTTTTTTTTTTTTTTCCCTCTTCTTCTAAACCTTAGAATTAAACAAAAGAAAAGAATGTTCGATTAGGAAAATGCCAGAAAAGCTCCCATGGGTTCACAGAAGCACTTTGAAAATCTATATTTAACCCTGTTATATATCAAATGCTTACTTCAGTGAAGCTACAATTTGAGCAGTTCAAATAGTTTGGAACATATACTGACCATTTCTTTATGACCTGGGAAAGTTAGGGGCTCATTAGCCCCCCCCCAAAAAATGTAATTTACTTTAATGCTGACAACAGTAACTGAGAGTACAGTAAACAGCCATCAGTCGCACATTAATATTGAAGAGATGGTCATAGAATTGTGTACTTTACAGGATCTCATTTCTGAAGTGCTTAAAAGTACCAAAAGAACTTTCTTCCTATGTTCATATTTCCTCTTTGCAAGATATTTATCTTGACATATATGTGGCTGTACATTTTTCCACCCTCTCAATCTTATTGTCAGTAGCTGCAGGGAAATGAGTCTTTTTGACCTCAGACTAATAGAAACTTATTTGAGTTCATTTTTAAATAGAGAAAAGTATGTTATTGCATTTCTATCACCAGAAAATAATGCTGAAGAATACAGTTTGATAACATCATGACAGATTCATCATAAGAAAGACCCGTAGCATTCATTTTTAATAGGCTTCGAAACATTTTATTATGATAGCCATTGGGGTGTGTTTTTGAATAAAGCTGAATTGGAAAGAATGCATGCCAAAATAAGCAAAATGTGTGTTCGATCATATATGGAGAGGTAAAAACAAAATAACATGTGATTTGTACCAGAGAATCATATGCAAAGAATTCCTAATGAAAAAAACTATGTTAGTACTAATAATTTGCATTAATGGTATTGTAATCTGAAACATCAAAGTGCATATATTTTATTGTACATGGCATATGAAACTTGAAAACAGTTGTTTTGATTTAATTTGAAATAATCTAATTTTGTATTCAAAACAATAATATGAATGCTTTTTAGATTTTCACCTGCTAATTTTATTTAAGTATGTTCATATAAAATAAATCCTATTAATAATTAAGCCATGCATGTCATTGTTGTGATATTTTAGTTAGGGTGAGTTTTTCCTCAGTTCATTCTTTATTTTTTATTTATAATACGTTAAAGGAAAAAAAAAAATCTGTGTTAGGGGGTCATGTACTTACCAGAAGTGTGCCTCTATGAAACATTTTTTGGGGTTGACGTGGATCTCGCAATTCATCTGTTTGTCATCACTCTTGCTGTGTTTACCCTTCTATAATGTGAATTTGCTTTATATTTTTCACCAACATATCAGTCGCATGATAAATGATGCATTTTTATTTTTGCAGACATGACAGTTTCAGCAGTAAACCTTCATTCTAATTTCAACTTAATCACCCTACCTATCAATTTGCATATAAACAGCTGGGCAGCTTTATCCTGGCAGTGAAAAAAATACTTAACACTTTGCTGCTGATGTAATTTGTAGTGTTGGCCAACCTATTTACTTAACTGCATATTTGCGTAAAGCAGATGTGTCTAAACTTTTAAGATTAAATTTTTTTAAATGAAAGTTGTTTCAGAATTGCGAGGACTTATATTATTACCGCATTTCACATGCGGTACTATTTAATTACATACATGCTTCATTGCTGCTGAGTTAAAATTTGTTTTCTTTTTTAATTTCAGTTACAGTTTCTAGCAGTGATTGAGTTGTTTAGATAGATGATATGACATATCAAGATACTGATTTTTTTTTATCTGTAAATGAAAGTTTATTTATGTGAAAGCTGTGCCTAGTAACTCTGACTGTATTTTGTTTTATATATACATTTTTACAGGTAACTACCTTAGATGGGCGGTATCTGCATTGTTTTGAAGTTGGCCACAGTGCTAATTCCATAGCTCCTACTCCTGAAACCTATGGAACTGGAGCAGCAGATGGTTTTTCTAGTAAGTATTTTATTGCGTATGATTTTTAATTTTTCCCTCCACACAGCTCTAAGTAATGATTATAAAAATTAAACTTTGTTCATTTATTTGTAAACTGAGTAGCTTGTCTAAGAATTACAGTAATCTTTTGACCATATAATTTAAATAAGTCTGCAGTATTTTTTTTTATTTTCGTAATTGATATTTGTAAAAAAGAGTAACATACTCTCATGAATTTAAACCATAAAATTGTAAATCTCTTAAATTTAAAATGTATTTATTAATTTTTATTTCCCAGTCTTCAGAAGTATTCAGAGCTTGATTATTATTCATGATAATTCAGAGAGTCAGCAACTGAGTAGTGCAAACTGAATGATATTAGTTATGTAAAAATCCATTAATTCCATTTCTTAGAAATATATACATAAGCTTTACTGATGCGACTCGAATATTTTATTCAAAAGTGTTAAAATTAGTGTATTTTAGAATTATTTTATGTTTTATTATCATCAACAGCAGTGAAGCTCCTAAAATTTGATGTGGATATACATTTATAAGAGAAAGACATCTACCATTCAAAAATCATTTTGTATATGCATGATTATCAGTAAAGCTCAAACTGAACAGAAATCACTTGAGGAGTCCCTGTGGCAGTCAATCCCACTCCTCCAAGATCATTTTCAACTCCAGGATAGTTCTTGGAGATGGATTGTGAGATAAAACTGCATCCCAAGAGCATCCCTGACATGTTCTTTAAGATTAAAGTCAGCAGATCTGGCTGGCCAATCCATGTGGTGGATGTCTTTACTGTCCTGCGTAATCATCGACTAGCTGAACCCTATGTGGACAATTGTTGTCATCGATTAACAGGGATTCAGGCCTGACTGTGCTCCTGAAAAGTCGGACATAAGATTCTAAAGTCTCATTTCTTTACCTTATAGTAGTCAGGAAGTATGCCAGATACATGCAGGAGTATGTGGCCATCCAATATAATCCCTGTCCAAACCATTCCACCTCCACCATCATAATGATCCTTTTCCCTGATAAGGGAGGGTTGATACTGAGTTATGTAAACTGAGATTCAGTGTCCAGGCTGAATTTTGACTCAACTGTAAAAATCATGGTGCTCAACTGAAGTCTGATCCAAGCCTCATTCTGTCTGTGCCATTCTAAATGAGTTCTGTTGTGTCCTGCAGTGCAAAAAGCAGGTCTTCTGCCATGCAGTTCTCATGAATTCTTCGAGCAACAATAGAACGTGAAACCTGGGTTCGAGTGACAGTATACAGCTCACATGAGAACTGTGAAGTTGTAGCACTCCTGTGTCGCTCCACTGAGAGTCCTAAATGCATGGGGTGTTTTTTAAGGACCGTTTAAAAATAAAAACCAAATGAAAGAAAATTTTCAAAACTCAAAATTATTTTTCGGATTCTACATACGTTTCTCTATTTTTCAATATACTTAAACGCTTATGATACCTTAGAACTAGATTTTGAATACCCTCTTAATAGAAAGTTGCTGCCTGTTCTGATAAAAAGATCACAGCCGGTTTCACGACTTCATCATTGTTGTAGTGAATGATGCTTGAGATTGCAGAAAAAATAAAAATCTCTTGGCTTAAGGTTTGGGCTGTAGGGGGTCCGAAACTACCCAGCAAAAAGAGTCCAATAAAGCTCGGGTCTGAACTGTGGTGTGAGGCCATCCTTACATTGTCATGAAGTAGCAAATTTCTATCTGTCAGCATGTCACATCTTTTGCTTTGAATCGCTCTGTGTAGCTTTCGCTGGGTTTGGCTGTTGGTTACCACATTTGTGGTTTTGTGTTGCATGAAGGTGATCTAGCAAAACACCATGTCTATTCCAAAACACAGACGCCATGACTGGGGAATCTTGGGACTGTCTGTTTGGCCTTGATCCTTACAGGAGTATGTGTGTCTCCATTCCATGTTCTGTTGCTTCCATTCAGCCGTCACATGTGAAACCCATGTTTCGTCTCCTGTTATGATCCGACTCAACATGGCCTATAACAACAATCTTCTTCATTATAACAAGTAAAAAAAAATGCAGTGAACACTCAAATCTTATGTTTTCATGGTCCTTCGTTAGTAGTTTAGAGACCGAACAGGAGCATGGTTTCTTAAAGCTTAACTTTTCAGAAATAATCTTGTGCAGCACTGACCTAGACGCATCAGGAAATTCATTTAAAAGAGTGTCTATGGTAAGGCATCTGTTCTCAAGAATTTTCGCTTCGTCTGAAGCCACCATATTGTATGTCACAGATATCACAGATGGACGACTGGAGTAGGGCCCATCATGGACATTGTCGCAACCAGCGTTGAAGTCTCTGACCCACTTGCACACTTTGCATCCACTCATGGCAGTAGTTCCGTAAACTTCATAAATCTGCAAGTGATTGTCTGCAGCATACAGGTTTCTTGCCGACAAAAAAAAAAAAAAAAAAAAAAAAAAAAAAAAATCACTAACTGTATCTCACATGGGACAGGCGATTTGATTTTCTTTGAACATTTTAAAGACACAGAACAGACCATATAGGTTACCTATGCAGCTGCTACTGAGCACAGTTGTTTCCAAGGGATCCTGGAACACAACGCGAGCACTCACTGCAGTGCACACACCACCTGTTAGTGTATACAATAAAATGGTCATTATTTAAAAAACATGCTACATAACAATCCTGTTTTGTTGTGGATCTTGGTCAACCATCTGCAGGACTTTCAAATATGGAGTCAGTGTCCTGAAATAGTTTCCACAAATTGCAGATGACATTGGGCGTTACATTACCATCTGTATCCACTGGCACTTGCGGTTGGCATGCCCCCAATCTGCCAACAATTCTTCCTGCTTTTCAATCATCCATATACTCATGGCAACTCAGTTTGTTTCAGTACTTCCAAAATTTAACCCTTTGGAAAAACGCAACAAATGCGGTGAAGGAGTATGTGCCACAAATCATCAGAAACTCGTCAGGGCTTATGTACGCTCCATAATCATACCTTCACAGATATGCATGTGTAGGGATATTTTTGACTCTGGATATTTGCATAATTCTTTAGCCGCGTAATTAGTACCTTTGGTTCAGTACATTTCACAAAAATAGATGTAATTGGCAAATTCTGTTAATTTTGCATATGTATGTAGTTCTAGTGTTAATTATAAGAAAGGGTTTTGAATAATATAGTGAGATGTCATTAAAATAAAATAAGTGAGAATTATATGTTTATGTACTTAAGTTTATTATTCTTTCAATAATGGGCATATATCCACATTTCCCCCATTCTTCTATTTCGATAATTCAAACATTTCAAAATATGGGGTAGTTTTAACATCCTGTGTAACATTTCTTGATATGTCACTGGTATTCCTTTCACCAGTAGTAAGTAAATTGTAGGTCCATTATAAATGGAATCCAGTTTTAAATTAATTTCTTCATTTCATTCTTACAACTATCTACACAGTCTTTCTCTTTCTTTCGTTCCCCCTATTTTGAAATTGTGAACTTCTGTAAAATAGCCATTTCAAACTGCCTGCCATACACAATTGTTTTGGAAAAATTTCATTGGTATTAATGCCTTGCACTAGCAGGGAGGGAACATGGCTTTTGGAAAGTGGATCCAACTACCTTAAAACCAGTTTCCTATCTTCTCATGAAAGTAGATACTTCAGTATGCTTTGCAATTATTCAAAAAATCCAAATCTAAATTATATCCACAGTGTTTGTCTGTACAGTTTAGTATTGTGCTTTCATAACATAGGTGTATAATGTCATCATATGACCATTATTACATTCCTGAATGTTTGGCAGTATTCCATAATTCTGGGGGAGGAACTTATTTCGGGGTGGGGGGCAAATGCCACGAAGGAAATTGCACTTTGCAAATGTGGTAGAAGTTGTGGCTGGGCATCACTTGATAACTACCAATCAAAATTTCGGCTATTTTGAATGTGAATTTTTTGTTTGACAATTATGTTTGTGAGTTGATGTGGCCGTTTTTGTAAAAATGGGAAAAAAATCATGTATCATGCTGTCATTAGATACATGTTTTTGAAGGTAATATACCTACTCAGATTAAAGAGGAGTTGGACACAGTGTATGGGGACTCTGCACCATCATTTACTACTGTGAACTTTGGGCAGCTGAATTTTCACGTGGCCGTTTCAGCTTGGATGACGATGAATGTTTAGGCGCCCAAAACTGCAACCGCTGGCGAAAATTCACCAGATGGTGCTGACAACAATCAAATCGCGGTTAGAGAGATAGCTGAGGCTATTAACAAGTTCAAAGACTGTTTTGCCTCATATTGAACCAAGATTTGGATATGCGCAAGCTTGCACGTTGGGTACCGCTTTTACTCACTCTGGACCGAAAATGTGTCCTAATGAACATTTGCACCTTCTGTTGGCGCAATAAATTGGAATGTTTTTGACTATAAATCACTGTACATGAAACCTGGATTCATCATTTCAGCCCAGAAACGAAAACACAGTTAAAACAGTGGACTGCAAATGAAGAATTGGCTCCCAAAATGGCAAAAACTGTTCCGTCTGCTCGGAAAGTAATAGCAACAGTTTTCTGGGACAGCCATGAGATTATCTTGAAAAGGGAAAACCATTACTGCAGCATACTGTGTAGCGTTACTTAACAAGCTGAAGGCAGAAATTGCGGAATGGCCACATCTGCAAAAGAAAAAATTTTGTTTCACCAAGCCAATGCTCCATCTCACACCTCAGTGGTTGCAATGACGAAAGTCCATGAATCACGATTTGAAATGCCATATTCACCAAACCGAGCACCAAGTGACTTTTTTTTTTTTTTTTTTTGTTCTCAGTGCTAAAAGAAGCACTTGGAGGACAAAAATTTTCATCAAATTAGGAGATTTTACATAGAAAGATTCCACATATTATTTGGGTGTGTTAAAAGGATGGAAGCATCACTGGAAAACATTTATGGACTTACAAGGAGACTGTGTCAAAAAAAAAAAAGGTAATTTTGGAGAAAAAAAATATCTTTTCTTTATTAGGTCGGAAACTTTTCAGACAGTATACGTACATTGGTGGGCAATTGTTAAGGACAGATGACGATAACAGTGATCTCAACCACAAAATGGAAGGCAGGAAAATGTGGAAATTAGCATAAGTGTAGGATATAGTTAAGATGTGTTGTGCATGTGCAAATTTTGCATTGTGAAAGTTGTTTGTCCCGTGTTAGCTCTGATAAGCAATATAAAGGATTTGAGATATATTTGACCATTGTTCAAAAGCAAAATTTAATGGGAAAAGATAAATTGATGAACTTCCGATTTTCAGTATTACTTTTCAACAGCAGTTAAATGATTTTACATGTGCCAGTATTATTGGCAAGATTGAAGAAGGATAAAAAATAAGAGATGTTGCTAGGGAATTTTTTTGTCAGCCATAGTGTCTCAAGGCTGTGGAAATCATTTCAAATAAACGGAATTTGCAACAAATATCACAGGGGATGAAATGTTCACATTGAGATACCTGCCGAAGACAGGTATGTAGTACTGTTGACAACAAAGAACTGGAGCAGCACATCTACTGAGGCAGGAAATCAGTTTCTTGCTGCTACTGGGAACTGAATCTCCCAAAAAACTATAACCACATCTTTGCATCAATGAGGACTGACTGTACACCCGCTATCCTGCTGTGCACATTCCATTGTCTGACCGACCAGGGGTTCTCAACCTGTAGTATGCAAGAGAAAAATAGGTTGTATGCAGAAAAGCAAAGTATTTTTAACTATTAAATTCAACAATTAAAACCCCAACATCCTGATTGAGTTTTTTCTCTATCACTCAAAAATTTATGCAATCTGAGCTTTGTTCAAGAGTGGTGGTGGTACTAAAGGTTTTAAATTTTTGTTTAGATGGTATGCATTAGTCAAAACGTTGGTCTAGACATCACTTTTCTGCCTGTTTGCAATGGTGTTGTCAGCATTGCAATGGAAGGGAAGACTCCTGGGCTTGTGTACTAGAGTCTGTTGTTGAATTGTAGATGTCAGTTTATCTGGTGTGAGAGTGGTACTGCATATAGTCCAGAAAATAAGAAAGGGACCGATATCCGACATGTAATGCCATCGTATGAGCTGGGATTATATGATGAAGGGCTGTACATCATTCTGTGCTACCAACTGAGACTAGGAATGGCCTAGTGGTACATTAATGATGATCTGTTGCCTCATGGCATCCAACCACCCTTATTTTTTTACATGCTATATAGCCGTTTGTGATCTGCCCTTAGCAAATGTCTATCAGTGTATATGGCAATTCGTGTCATTGAACTTTGATATATTTTTTATTATTAGGGAATTTTAGTGTAAAATTAATTTGAGATGTAAGCTCGTTTATCTGTCATTAGGAAGAAATGCAGTTATTGTTATCTAATGCATAAATTCGTAAAATTTCTTGCTTTATTAAAGAAAAATGCAATAATTATTAAATTAGAAAACACTGTGACTTATTCCTGTCAATCAGGTGTTCAAGATAATCAGCATAAAAGCATGTGTAATATTAAATATGTTCACCAAAGGTATTTTACAGAAGAGACACACATTATGAATAACTTGAAAAGCTGAATCATTATATTATTACTTCTAAAAATCAGAGATAAGAGAATTTTGTTGCATTTATGATCATCTTTCAATTACTCTGAGAGGGAGAGACACAGTTGCATTAATACTACTGGCTATTAGAAAGCTTTATTTATTAAAGAAAGATGCAAAAGTTTACATTTTAATTTTCTAGAATTACTTTATTTAGATGTAGATTGGAGAACTGTAGAAAGAACTTGCATGTATCTCAGACTTCAAAAAGAGAAAGGGGCTGCGACTAATTGACGAGTCTGAAATGTAGGATAATAAATAGGCAATGTGTTTTAGCATGTGAAAAAAAATATCCTTAATAAAAAATTGGTTTAAGATAATTTTGAAATATATAAATTCAAAAATGTTAAAATTCATATTTGGGAGCAAAACTTTTTTGTGTTTATAACAATAAGTAATTATATATGAAACTATATGTATACTTTTAAAAGAGTTAGTTTTGGAACTATCTAGAAGAAACAATTTAAAATGCAGAGAATTCATATTTTTATTTTAAGCTATATAATTTTATTGGTTTTCTTTTACACAGTTCTCAGCCAATTTTTTCCCCCTAAATTGTGTATATTATATGTGCTTTTGCATTTATGTTATGAGGCTCAGCCTTCCATATTTTAAGTTTTTATTGCTTTTTTTCCTCCTTTACCCAAAATCAAGGTTGGATGATGGTTGGCGGAGATATAATATCAGGTTATATACCAGATGTTGGAGTGCACGAGCGTTTGAGAGAGCATGGAAATGTACCAATTTGGAAATTACGGTAATATAGTTTGCTTTAAAATATTGTAAATTTCATGGTACATCTGTTTTCAATGTATTTTTTAGTTTGTTGTCTTTGTATTGTCATGTGGAATTTCCTTTTAAATACAAGTTTTTTAAATTTTAGAATATGATATTTTCTATTAAGTGAATAAAGTTTTTATTTAGTTGCCTTTCATATAAACACCCACTGCCATGTATGTGGTATCAGACAAAATGCAGACATAACAAGGAGGCTAAATAAATATTAAAAACAACATGTATAAAAATTCATCCATTATTATGTTAACAAGTCATTAAATTTTATTAAGTTGTAAATGAATGTTAAGTTGGGATGGTGTTTGCATTTATTGCATAATATTGAGTAAAAGTAAAATTCACTTGTGGAGTGTATGAGCTGAAGCCAGTCTTTCAGTTTATTTGTGCAGATATTCTTGATCAGAGTTCTGAACAGAAATTGATTAACTTTGCTACATATGATGCATATACATATAGTTAAAAGTTGCCTTTTATTGAAAGTGAATGAAATTCATTCATTCGTATGAAAATGTTAACATTTCAAATAGTGTGTAAATCATATGTGACACCATTAAAACCAGATAAAATACCACATTAGAACATAGCAGTCCATATGTGTTGTAAATGATATAGAAAATGTTTTAATAAATTATTAAAAAAATATGGGGCAAAACTTATGAACAAAATTAAACTCATTCGTTAAATTTGAGTCAAGTTCACAAATGTTTTTATTTACAGGCCAGACCACATATATGAAGTAAACAAATAAAATATATGAAGTAAACAAGATATGTAACTTTTGATAACATTTCAGACAACCAAACTTGACACTGAAAAAGCTCTGTAAAAGCATTCATCCTTTTTCTTTATTTTAAATTTCTTTTGTAAAATTATCCCTTCTTATATATTTTCATGTGCTAGTACACCATTTGTGAACAGAGCATGTCTTTTTAATGTTGGTATAAGCTTGTGTATAATGTTTTCCAATATAGGTACATCATCATTAAAACCAACTATAGGCGTTTGCAAAATACACATTGACTATAGGGATTAAAATTTACAAAATTCATGCTGAATTTTTTTATTAAATGAAAGTTGCATCAAATATATGTTGTATTCTCATATCTGAAACAAATAATTGATGCTTTGAAGTCTCTTGTAAAAAAAAAAAAAAAAAAAAAAAAAAAGTAAGTAAACAAGTAAAATACATTTTCTTTATTGCATGTAGTGCTTGTTCGTACTATTTTGAAAAGTTATTAAAAGCACTGATTAAAAATCCATGAATAAGTAAAAAAATAGCTTTTGGTTAAAGTTTGAATTAGTAAAATCAATTTCCTTTTTTTTAAACTTTCAGGTACACCTCAAATGGTGGACTTCTTTATACTGCTTGTGATGGAGGAATTGTCCGAAAGTAAGCCCTAACTCTACATTTAATCAAATTTCTCTTTAAATTTTTTTTAATACAAAGTTAATGATCAAATGTTTCAAGCAAATTGATTCAATTTAAATGTGATCATGTTTCAATGTGAAAATGTTGTGTATTGTATTTGTAAGTTGTTGCTGTTTTCAGTGTTTGCTATTTTCAGTGAATTCTATTTTGCTCTGCAAATTTTCTGCTTTTGTTGTTACCTTAAATCTTTTGGTTTAGAACAAGGGTTAACAATGTAGTACCGGCAAAACAATGTTAGTAAAATTGTAAGTCATAGTAAAAATTCATACATGAACTGTACTGTTTCCAACCATTGCTCACTACGCTTTATATCTATAACCTTTGTTTGTATTTAAACTTGTTATTTCTTGAATTTGTATTTCAAGCTGTAAGCAACATACAAATTCTTCTCTTCAAATTATAAGATTACAAAAAGATACAATTATTGCTTTTGTAGTGATTGGTATTAAGAAAATAATTTACTTTTTTTATTCTTGTGCTTCAACAACTTATTTCAGTTGCACAACTAAACACTTTGCACTTTTTTTGCTTGGCTAGCAACATTTATGAACAGTTTTGCAGTAACAAGACTGAACGTTGCGATTTTCACAATCCACATAAGTGAATACTGTTTTGATATATATTTATTTAAATATTCATTCTTATGATAATTTTAACTGCCCTACAGCACCTGCCATGCTTGCCAAAGTCCCATATTTCTGAATTATGCCTTGCTCATAAAAAAGGTTGCCGAACCCTGCTTTAGAAATCACTAGACCAAGTTGAAAAGGCATAACTTAAGTGTGTGTGTTCAGTAATCACAATGAAAGAAGCTGTGATTCAGTTAGGAATCATGAGTAAAAAAGGAACAGGAGGGAAAAAATGTAATGCTACTTAGTTTCATACTTTGGTATGCTTGATCTTAATTTTTGCCGATGCACCCGGTGTGTGGCCTTTGAAACTGGCGTAACAAATCAAGACACGTGTTTCAGTACTACTGCTTTGTCAATGAACTAAAAGAAAGAGCTCTTTCAAAATTAGATCGCTAGAAAATTTTATGTATATTTTGTAGTTTTTAATGTCAGTTACATTTTGCATGTGCTGATTGATTAATTGGTATTGTGTGTGAACGTATGAGTAAATATAGCATGGGATGAATTTTTTACAGGCTTTAGTTAATGTTAGTAATACCAAGTTTTTTAAATTTATCTTTATTTGATGTATTATTAGATATCGGAGGTACCCTGACCATCATATGTACCTTGGGGAAGTATATTCACATAAAGGTGATATTCAAGATATGGATTTATCCCCATATGATGAATGTATCCTTATATTTTTGTATTTTTCCCATAATCAGATGTATTTGCATATTATAAATACTGCTTAACTAAGCATTTTCAGCAGTTAAAGTTTACATTGCATTATATCTTGATGAAGTTAGCAGAAATTGACCTGGTTTCTTTACTTATTTATTAATATATAATGGTGCTAGAGAAGCATTTATTCATTATCACATGATGCAGAAAAAGCATTTATTTTGCTTTTGAAGCCACTCTGAAATTTCCCCTTTCCCATCCATTTGAATTTTTTTCAGTTTGCAGAAATTACACTGAATTTTATTTGATTTGTTTTCTGTTGTCAATTTGTCTTGGTTTCTAATTACCAAATTAAAAGAAGTCTGATTATTATTTTGAACTTAAGCAGGCTTTCAAGTTCATTAATTTTCAGATTATTTTATGATTAGTTATTTTATTCCAAAATTACACCTTAACATATAACAAGTTTTAATCACAGCTTCCAAAGACAGATCAGTTGGAATTCTTCGATTAGGAGCACCCAATCATGGATGGACTGAGTACAGTGAGTTGACCTGATGTGTTAACTGAATTTTAGAACCTATACATTTGTAAGTTTTTAATATCACAAGGAAGTTCAATGTCAAGCCTCTGTAAAGAATCATTGGATGAGGAATAGGGTAAAACTCATTCAAGAATTCTGTGACATCTACAGTACAGATATGCAGATTTTTTTTATTAAGGCAATTTAAATGACTCATTTCTGTATGAATTTCCAAGGAAGAATACATTTCCCACGCTTTGTTACTTTCATTCAAAGCATAGTGTGTTGTCCGTTAAGCTGAGCAACTTTGATCTATCAAGACAGCATACAGGTCTCCTTTTTATCAGGACGTATGTGATTAAGTGGAATATTTTGTCTTCTTTTATTTCAGCAAAAATATGTTACATGAGAAATATATTTTACATATTTTGTGTTATATTACAACCATCTCTTTAATTACATGCTTTGTCAAATAAAGTATTTTGTATATGAAAAGTTGTCAACGAATTACTAATGTAAAGTATTTGTGGAAAACGATTACATTTTGAAGTTGGATGTATTCATTTTCTCTAACAGGCAGTGCAAATATCTGTGATATATGCCTTTGTGAAATGATTATGATTAAAGAAGCTGACATTTTATCAAAGAAATTCAAACCTCGTTTTAGGAAGCATTTTACTTCAAAGTTTCTATTATACAGGAATTCTGAACAAAGCATGACTTCTGTTTCTGGAATAGGAAATCTTGGCAAAAGTATGCTAAATTTCAATTTAATATATACTGTCTTGGGGGAAGTTATGTCAAAGTTTTGTATTTATAAAACAGGAAATCCCATTATAAAATATGGTCCACAAATGGTCAAGTGGATGTGAATGCTGGTATTTTAACCATCATTAAAATCCTTTCAAATAGGCTGGCTGCATGGGCATTTTCATGGTTTTCCCGCCATGTGTCATGTGAATACAAGCCAGTTTTCTTCAAAGGTTCTTTATGAATAGATCCTTCCCCTAGGTTGGCTTTACTGTGGCAAAATCCAATCCATTTTCATAATGAAAATTTATCAATTCCAGGAAAAATAAAACATTGCTGTGTATGTAAAAACTGACTGAGAAAATTTCATTGCAGTGAGTATATTGATCACAAATGATCCAAATGTAATATAATTTGCATCCATAGCCTTTGATAGTTCTTCAGTTGAGTAGTAATTTGTATGCGTTGGGTTAAGTCAACAAGTGCTTTTGTCAACACGTGCACATGCGTGGTTTAGATAAGTTAACACTTAAAACTTCTAAATTATTTTTACAGGTGAGCTTTTCCAAGTGCTTTGTTATAGAACTGTGTATCCCAGAATATTCAATAGGAGAGTTTTAGCTATTAATATAGAAAAAAAGTAGCAATTAATTATCATGTGTCGTTGAAAACAACAGTAAAAGGTTTTATGTGAAATAATTTAGACCGTTTCCTTTGTGCTTTTAAAGGAAATACATGAAAATGATGAATAGTAACAATACCGGTTGTTATATAATGGTTATTAATTAAGGTTATTAATTAATTAATGTTAATTAATTAAGTGCTGGATTTCTCTTAAATATTCTTTTAATTGAGATTGTGTAATTTGATTTCAGTCTCTGGGATATTCATTCTTGTCAAATAGTCAACTTACTATCATTATTCTGAGCAGTTTTGAAATCCAATGTATATCAAAGTAAGAAAAGCATAGTAAACAATTTCTACTACACTGTTGATTTTTGGTTATTTGAACCTAACTTAGAATAATGTTTTGTTTTATAAAGATTATAAATATTTACATTAGTTTATTGTAGTTTTCGGTTTATAATTCTTTGTTTTAGGATTTAGGAAATAAAACATGTAATCATGATATTCTGATGGATCAGTATGTAATGTTATTGTCAAGTAAAAAATAGAGAGTATTATATGCTGTTATGGTATGCAAATTTAAACTGGAAAATGCATTATTTAAATTATTTTCTATATTCTTGTTTGCATTATACATTTCCCAAATTTAAAACTAGCTCATTGTTAAAAATCCCCTTTTCTTCCATTAGTTATAGTGTTTTATTCTCGGAATGTTAATAATGATGTGAACATCTGATAATTATTTGATATTAAATATAATAGATTCCTGCTTTCATCTTTTATGCTGAAACCAATTAACTCATTTTTTTATATCATTCTTATGTCATGACGTATTTATAACATTTTAATTTGATCTCCTAAATTGTTAAAATGTTAAAATATGCATTAGTTATAATCTCATTCTAAAGAATTATTACAATTACCCATTCACATATCTACATGGAAAAGTATACACACTTACTTTTTAACATCTAATATTAATGAGAATTAAAGAAATACTACTTTAATCTTGGTAAATATAATCATGGTAACTAAATAAAATTAATAAATTACAGTAACTATTTTTACAACTATTCATAACACCCATATATAAATTAAAATTAATTTCTTCACGTTAGAATTTAAGTATTATTTACAAAAAATTTTTCATCATTAATTAGCATGAAAATTTTAGTTTTAATATAACGGTAGAATGGTCTTTCCAAACATAATAAACAGGCGTTATCTTTCTCCTTTCTTTTATTGAAGTGGTAGTCAAACCAGTTAGCGGTATCTTTTCCATAAGTAAAATTTTATGATAAAATATCAGATTTCCTAGTTTTATTTTTGTATCTGATTTTTGCAGGGCTTGATATTGCTAATCTAGTCCTTTTGCTAATTTTTAGTATTTATTATATATATAGCTGTTGAATTTTTGATTCAATAATTTTTTAAGCTTACTAAGGATATTCACATATTAGGGTTTGTGCAAGTTTTACATCTAATAAGGGGGCCTTTTTGTAATTTCTAATTGGTTATTGATATATTATTATCGTAGTTGGTAAGGAATTATTTCTCTTCTCAATTAAAAGTGCCAAAACAACTCTTATCGTTGTTGTGGGTGGCTTTATTTTTTCCATTTAATATTTTAAGTACATTTGTGATTACTTTTACAATGATAGCTTGATTGTGGTAATAATTACATTGTGGTCTTTGTTTTTTTTTTTTTTTTCTGTGAATTTTTTACAGTCTGCTAATCTATGATGTTTAGCAGCTGTAAAAAATTAGTAAATTTTTTAACAGTTTAATATTTATTTTTGTGTCATGTGTATTATAAATCCATAACTTATATCCATCATTCCATTTGTTTCTGTTTTCAAAACTATCAGTTCCCAGTTTTTTCTGTAAATTTGCTCATATTTCATATGAAAAGGTACTGAATGTATTTAGTATTTGAAACCTGTTGATAGCCATAGATGTTAGAGGTATTTTTCATTTAGTTTGCAATTCAACTTGCTAAAAGTTATATATTCATTATATAGTAATTTTTGGCATAAAAATGGAAGTTATGTAAGTATGTTTGAATTTGCACTTTTGTTTCAGCAATTATCTTAAAGCATTCTAGTGCCAGAGCAAGCATGATGTTTTAATGAAAAATGCTCAATTTTATTACGTTATGTTATGAAAAATGGGCAGTTACTACAGGTTTTCTTTAAATTGTCATTAGCAGGTAGTTTTGATAAGTAGTGACATCATTTTTATTGTGATAAATGTGTGTGTAGACGGATTCCACACAACCATTTTATTGATATCAGCCTATCTTGTGGAATTTAGCTTTTAAAAGTTTTCTGTGACATCATGAAATAATTTTAGTAAGATCACCGTTTGTATTAAATTACTCATTGATGCATTCATAAAATATAAACATAGGTGTTCTTACAGTATCTGACTAATCTCTCCTCAGAATTTCTGTATTTTAGTAACTGTGCATATTCTTTGCTTGATGCAACCTACTGAATTAAAGTGGCTTTATTAGCAGATATGCACTGCTTTTATAGTTTGTATTTAAGTTTTGTGTATTTGTTTTAAGTAATTAATGTGTAAAATGCCCAAAATTTTAGTATATTTTAATAATGAACTTACCGATGCCCTCCCTGTTATCCAAATCTGTATGGAATAGTGATTGTGTGTATACATACATGTGTGTGCTTGTCTGAATTGCATTTTGGGAAGATGCCTCTCGTATAAAATCAGACATTTATTTTGAAACCTGCCATAAAAATAAAAGGCACCCCAAAGCATTAAATTATATCATTGAATATGGGGAAGAAAATATTTTTTCAAAATATAAACTATCACCAGCAATTGACTTTAGCATTTATGTTGGCAACAGTGGAGTAATATTTAATTGAATGTATTTAATATTCATTGAAAGCCTCCAAGTGCGAGTAGTCATGCAGTACTTACTTAGTATTATACGAGGCCCTTTTTGAATTGAACAAAATGTGATGAACATACAATGGACTCTACATTGTCAGTTCAAGTCACCTTATGGAGATGTTAAGCCATACTGTCGTAATAGCCACTCATTATTGCCTAGACATTTTAAGTTCTTGTTTATAAGAAGTTGGGGGTCACAATTATTAAATGGTTAGATAGTGACTTGCACTGTCTATTGTTGGTGGTAATTCATACTGTGAGTATTCTCAGGATACTTACGATGCCATGATTGATGAATTTATAGATTGCTTAAATTTGAGTGACTGAATGCGGTATTAGTTTGCTGTGTCATTCCATGTTTAAAATCTGATGATTACATCAGTTTGCCATGATCATGTTAGAAGCTATTTGGTACATCATTACTGCTGATAATTGAATAATATGCACTATCTTATGACTTTTAGCATTTGTGTATATTGTCTTTTATGCAAAGAATTTATATCAAGGTAATGCTGAGTGAAATTATGTAATCATAGCATTAATCATGCTTTCATTTTTTAATAAATGTTTATAAATAAACATTTATTAAAAATAACACAAATAATTTTCATTATTACTAATTTGTGTCTTATATGCCATAGATATGCTTTCTTAAGTTTACTGAACTGTTATTTTTTTACTTTATTTTCATAATTACGAATTTTGTTTTCAACTCTGAAATACTTTATTTATATAAATCCTGTTTTCATTGAAATAAAATTTATGCCTTCAGATTGTTATTAGTTAATATTTTATGTAGTTCTTATTATATTAAGATTTATAAATAACATTTGCATATTTAGCAGAATATTTTTATGATTGTATTGCTTTGTTTTCCTGATCTTTCATTATTAGGCATACTATTTGTGTGACTTTGGAACAGTATCGCAGAGAATTGTGATTAAAATGATTGCATGTATGTTATTATTTTCATTTAGAATATATTATGAAATGGTAATATTAATTCAACCTATAAACTATAAATGTTTCGTGGTTGCAAAATTAGAACTTAGATTGCATTGCTACAAAATCTGATCTCAACAGTAGTATAACATAATTAATACTAAATGATGCATTATATGATATGGTTCAGCAGGTATGCTTTTGAGCACTGTTTTGTTATATGATTATAGTCATTATTTTGTTTTAATGAGATGATGTACTTATAAAGACAAATAACATAAATCAAAGAAATATGTCAGAAAATTGCTAATCTCATCAAAAATGCTAGTTTTATTGAATTGTTTTGAAGCTTGTTATAGGAAACAGGTTTTTGTTGCAATATTAATACCTTGCCATACAAATCAAGTTGATGTGCTTAAAATTGTAGAAATAAAACTTTGGAGTAATATACACAGGGTGTTTCAGCAAATAGGTTACACACTTTCAGTAGAGTACACCTAGATGATGGAAAATCACGTAACAGTGCCTGGTTCAAAACACATTATTGGTGCAGTTGTGATGCCACAAAAAAGGAAGAACATGAACACTGCGGCAAAACATGTTTTATTATGATTAGTATAGCAGAAGTCAACAAATAAGAACAAAAACAGAACCCAATTGTCATTAAAGAAGGTGTTCAAAATTACGACCTTGGACTGTCATGCAAGCCTCACAAATCTCCAGTGCATGAAAGATCTGAATTATGCATGGAAAATGCATGATGCACGGTTCTTGCATTACAGTGCAGGTAATAATTTCAAACTCCTCTCTGATGACAATTGTCTTTGTTCTTATTTCTTAGTTTCCACTGCTGCACTAAGCATAATAATTATTCTCACTCTTTTTGTGTCCTTCCTTTCTTGTGTTTTGTGTTGTCACTACCTCAACCAGGAAAGTGTTTCTGATCGTGCATTGTTATGTGTTTTTCCATCTAGGTTCCGTCATCTTTCCTGAAAATTCATAACTGATTTGCTGAAACACCCTGTGTGTATATATGCTTGCTTTATAGTCTAAACTCATTTTTAAGTGTGACCATAATTTCCTGGCATCTAGGAAGTACCAAAAATTTGTCTTGACATTAACAATAATTGATGCATTCTAACCATCACTGCATGCTCCAGGATTAATATTGGCAATATTCTATAACCATCATCAGTCAGAACTTTCAGTTTGTAAACTGTGCTTATACAATACCAATTTTTCATTTACAAATTTTAAATTTTCCGATTGATTTAGTTTAAAAGTGTCTTCAATACTATATATAAGATTATCATTTACTGTATGTGGAAATGAGTAAAATTTCAGTTTATTTCTGATTCAAATATATAATTTTGAAGTTCAAACAAATCGATTGTGAAAGAAATGAAATATTTAAATGTTGGAAATATACTGTAATATTGCATATTTTCAGTTTAAAAAGCTTCACTATAAGTAACTGAATACTAAGGCTATATTATTCAAAATTTATTTTCCATAAATATTTGAAAATTATGAAGCAGAAGGTAAGTGTCCCACAAACTATATTATATGCATTTCTTATTAATTGAGGTTTGTGTCTGACAATTTGGGAAGTTATTCGTTGTTGTGCATGTATATGCATAAACATGTGTATTATATATATTAATACACATACATACGTATACAGATGTCTTAATAAAAATTTCATCTCTTTCACTTTATATACATTTTGGAAAGCTTATGTTTATTGTATATGTGTTTAGATATGTCAAAATAAAGTGATTTATTTGTAAATATCTTGAATTTATTCCATGTGTGATCTATTTATGATGATAATTTTTGGTTGTAATGAAAGTTTTCTGCCAAAAAATGTTCTTAATAAAGTTTAAAAAAAAGCAGTACCTTTAGTGCAGGTAGTAATCATCATGCAAATGTATGATTTTCTGCCAGTGTTTTGGTAGTTTTTCAAAGCCTTTGTCCCAGAAACTTGGTGGCCACGAGTCCAAAAACAGATCAACCTTCATTTTGGAAATCCTATGCAGAATCGAAGATAGCACCAGCAAGATGTAGCTGTAGGTGTGAAAAAAAGTTAAAGTGCATACAGAGTCCAGCCAGTGAATTCAGATATACGTGTTCTTGCATTATCTTGATGGAACATTACCTTTTTGAGCTGGAACTTAGTTCGATGTTTGTCATTGATAGCAGCATTGGCACAGACTAGCATCTCAATACACCTTACTGTCGAGGATTTTACCTTTTTCCAGATACTTTTTCTGGATAATATGGCAATCCCACCAGATGTAAAGCATGATCTTTTTGTTAGTGAAACTGCACTTTGCGAGGATGCCAACAGGCTCACTGGGGGCAGGCCAATTGACTTTCATGCCTGTGTTGTTGAATTAAATCCACTTTTCATCACAAGTGATAATCCGGTCAAGAAATAGCATCCTTGCATTGATATTCGAGCAGATTAGTGCAGGCTCAAATACGTATATTCTCATCTGCTTGAGTAAGCTCCTGCAGCATGCAGCAATTGAACTTGTACATCGAGTGTATGTAATACATAGTGTGATAAATGGACATGGCACTTATGTCTAACATCTTAGCAAGCTCTTGAGTGGTTGCTTACTTATCTTCTCCCACAAGTTCTTGCAGGCAGGCCTTATCGACATCAGTAGGCTGGCAGGAGCGCTGTGCTTCTTGATTTTCATATTCCTGGTTTTTGAACTTTCGGTACCAAGCCTTCACAGTATCATATGATACAACATTAGTACCTAAAGCTGTTCACGATTTGGTAACATTCTGTTGCTGACGTTTTTGCAACAGAACCAGAAGTAAATGATGGTTCTAATCTGGTGGCATGTGTTCTATTTCAAACACCTTGCACTTAATGGTAACAATAATTTTTATACAAATTTCATAAAACGTTTTAAAACAAATATCTTCCTTTCAAATGCGAAGAGTCTTTTGGCAAAATATGATTAAACACGCCACCACGAACTGTTTGCACAGATGACATTTGCGATGACGGAAAGCTTTCTTTAAAACACAATATTTTGCATTGGAAGTATACATGTTATGCTAAAAGTTGTGAAATCATGGTGCAGTTACTTGACCTATTGGGGGCACCCATAGCTTGTTCTAGTAACTTGACATGGCAATATGGCAATGACTTCACAGTATAGTGAGCCTCCTGGAGAGACATTGATCCATGTTGTTTGGCTAATTTTTCATAGTTACTTTCTTATGGTAGATGCTAAATCAATACAAATAGACCACTAAGTTCATATCTATAAACTTGGTGTTCAGGTCATTTGATGGACTTCTTTGGCATGCTCTTAAAAACAAATCCCGGCAGACGACATTGTGTGAGACAGAAAGGTCCTTAAGTATTCAAAAAAGACAGCACTTAAAAAAATTACTATTGCTGGTTTTACCATGGAAGCCTGGTAGAGCTAAACCAAAACTGACAGTGAGGGAAGGAATGAAGAAAATGTTGGCGTAAATGTATCAGGAGGTGCCAAAATCTTTTAAGTGTTTACAGCCTCTAAAAGTATCAATCTAACTTGCATCATGGCTGAATCAAAATACAATTTGCCCTGATCGAGAAGGTGTTTTTCAACATCTTGTGACGCGGAGATAAAAGTTTACAAAAGGTTCCAAGAACAGTGAGTAATATCTTCTAATAGTCCTTGAAATTTGCTGAACAAGATTCTAACCGAGCACTTTTGATTTAATTTGATTATTACTAGCAGCTTGACGCTAATTACATATTTATGAATACTATAGAGTTTTCTATTGCAGTCATGATATCAATGACTTTTACTAACATCTCATTGAATCCATGCCTCACCAGGTGAGATATTTTAAAGCTGCGAGTGGAGTAGCCACTTTCATATTAGTTATATCTGGGCTGGTCGATTCCATTATACTACATACCTCACCGTGTTTGCATCAATTATTAGACATTGAATGGGTAAATTTTAAATTATAGTATTTAGAATTATAAATTTTAACCATTCCCAGCATTTTTAAGGATTTAGTTTAACAAGTTGCTGTTAAAAAACTTTAAACCTTTTTCCTTGCTTGAGCACTCTAGTCCAGAAGTTCCGAAAGTATGGTGCATAAAAGAGCTTTGGGAGATGAGTAATTTTTACCAAGTCGCGAAAACTTCTAAAGCTTTCAATCTGTTATGTAATTATATATATTTACATACAATTATTGATAGTAAAAGCACATAATTATATATAAATTTAGTAAAAATAATTCACACCAATTTTTCAAAATACAGGCCGAAAAATGTATTCAGTATAATATGTGCAATTTAAAATAATACATATATTTAAAAATTTAAAAAAATGGAAGACAATCAGTTAAAAGTTAATTGCACAGAGTATAAACAGTATTCAATAATTTACAGAAATATGTATTTTTCATTAATACAAGTACTGAAGAAGATTGTATAAAACTCAACAAACGTAGTATTAATTTTTGAGAAGTTGCTTGTTATACTTACTCAAACTAATCTCTTGTCAAAGTGTAATAATGATGCTATTTTAAAAACTATTCTTTGCAATTTATAATCCATTTTATTTCAATTAACATGTTGAAATACATAGTTTCTAAATTTAAATGTCTACATGACAGAAGTGTAGTTAAGGTTTTCAGCGCCCAGGGACAACTGAAGATTTTGTGCCCCCTTTCTGTGTGCCAAGAATGGAAAACATTTCATTCTAAAATTTGATAACATCAATTTGGCGCCACCTCGAAAGCTGCCCCCGGGTACAGACGTCTCACCTTGCCCCACCATGCCACTGTTACATGATAAAACTTTGTAATCAAAATAAAATTAAATTTATTTATTATTTAAAATTAAATTAATGTTTAAAATTGCTTAAATCCAAAACAGAGGCAATGCTATGGGGAAAAAATTAAATTATCATTTCATTGATCTATTTGCTTTCAAAGGACAACATTCCAATCAAAAGCATAAATGTATCTTAGTAATAGTTTAACTAAAGTGATTTTTTAGTTTGATTAGATAAATCCTTTATCGGAAGCTATATTATAGTCATAAACAATAACAATATAAGTATATCACATTTAGGGACATGCAATGAAATTTTAATGATAGACAGAATTAGATAGTAATATGATTAATCTTAAAAAAATGATTTGTAACTAAACAATTTGAAGTTATTAAATAGAAACTTTTAAAACTTCATGCAGAATGAATTTAAAATCAAACAACGATTTTAAGTGTAAGGATATAATGTGTTTCATGATAATATAATAGATTTACACATTATGATGTACATCATAGATTCAAAAAGCTTATTAGTAAAAGTCTACATAAAAATTCTAACTAAAATTGTTTATAGCTTTCTAGTTATAAAAAAATGTTTCAAATGACGCAGATATTCACATATAGGTATTTTTAATTTTAAAAATTACGAAATGTAACTTTTTACATGGCACCCAGATTCTTGTAGTTATATTAAGTGAAAGCTTGTACTCCTTATAGAAAAGTTGGACTTGTTTACAACAAAAATTGATTGAGATATTTAATTTAAAATTTCTTATATTTTCAGCTTGCCAGAAGGGATTAAAAATTAGAATAAGTAGAGGTTTTTTTTTTTTTTTTTTTTCTCTTTAAATGTCATAACATGATATTCTTTTGTGATTTAGTAGAATGTAGCATTTTTTAATTTACAGTTTAATTCTTTATTACAAATTTAAATATGGTAACATCAAAAGAATTTTTGCACAAGTGATTTATAAGATTTCAGTTATAATCTCATGCAGTTTTATTGCTAACTGACATACAAAAAGTTATTAAACTAGAAATACTTTTGCTTTCTAATTTATGCAAAACATATCACATATTAGGTTATGTGCCAATACTAAAGCCTATTATTATTTTCTGGAAAATGAATTTTATAAGATTTTGTGAATGTTTTGGAAAAAAAAAATGTTTATCAAGGTTTTTAAACCAATTTGCATAGCAGTGAAAATTGTCTTAACAAGCATTTAATCCATTAACATCAGAAATTATCTTTTCCGAAACTGCTATCTTTAATTTTTATTTACATACAAATGCATATATTTTGCTCTTCAAACAATGTATTGTTCTTGAATAGGATCTGAAAGTAAAATTAACTATCTCGGCCAATTTTTGGCTTATGGAGGACAAACACTTTGTGTTTTATTTTTCAGAATAAGTAAGTTTTCACTAACTTAAAAAAGTCTGGGAGCAATATAAAAAAATGGGTTTTGTAATTTTTATAAAATTTATTTTATAAATCTAAAAATGTAAATATGTGCGTCATTCGAAACATTTCTGTAACTATGACAAACGTTTCCCAAGATAAAAAAAGCACAAAGACTTTTGTGGAGATGGTGTATAAACATTTTTACGTAAGTGAAAAAGTTAATTTCAGAAACTTGCAGATCTTAAAAAAAAGATAAAAAGAAGATTATTTTTCTCTGTTTAGACTGAGGTATGCAGCACTTAATTTGATCGCTCGTCTTTAATCACACTGTAACTAAATTTGCAAAGTTCGAAACCAAACAGCATAAAGAATATTATGATTTTTGAAGGATGGAAGAGAGAAAAAATGGAACCTTGTTGTAAAGTCATTTATGAAAATACAAACAGTGACTAAAAGGTGCTATTCTTGCTGAACCCTGTAAGTAGGGAAAAACGCTGTCAAGTTGACGTTTCCTGGTGGTGCCATGTAGGTTGCTTCTCCACGTCTGATGACATACTGCTCTTCAGGAACTGCGTATACTATGCCGTCAGTTTCAGGTAAAGATACTACGGTTACTTTATCTCCAGTTCCTGCGGCTTCTTGAATGTGTGTTCGAGCTTCAGGTAAATGTAGAGCCTGCAGAAATACGAAAAAGGAACAATTATCTCATAATCATACATTATTATCGCTCAATCATCTGTTAATATATATAATTCACGTTAAATAAAGTAATTATTGGTTATTCTTCAGTCAAATAAAGTAAGTCATACATAATTATGATTCTTAATATTATTAAATGTTAAGTTGATATGCATGATTTCACGAAGTCAAACTTAAGCCATTTTGGATTATAGTTGATCACACAAAAATAAAGCTAAAAAGGTCATCCCTTGGAACCGTAGAACGAAAATTTTCAGTTTTTCTATGATACGAAAGAAAGTAAGTATTTTGAGTAAAGTTGTTTGGTGAATGAAACAGCTTTCGTTTTTAGATAGTACGTTGCATCTGGAAAATCCTTGCGGAAGCCAAAATGTTTTACTTATTGCTAATATTTTACATTGTGAGTATGTTGGTTAATTAGAAGTTGATGGCTATTGCCTACTGCAGTGATGATTTCTTCCATGATTCTTTACAGAAACTAGCTCATATTTGTGTCATACCGAGAGAAAATGAAGAAAAATCTTTTTGCCTAGTCCGTTCAAATGCGAGATGAAATTATATATATATATGTATTCCTATCTTATTTATTTAAATCTATGTGTCATTTTTAAAACTGCAAAAAATGAGCAGTTTACGAAATATAAATATTAGCTTTCATACTTACAGTTAAAATAGGATTAAACTTAAAATCCCGTTTATCGGAGCTAAATGGAGTATAGACATTTCAGTTAATTCAGTTACCTTTTAGAATAATAAATGCCAAGATTTGTTATTGTTAAAAATTCCTTTTCAACATTTTTTTTTTTTTTTTTTTTTTTTAAGAATAAACTTCAAAACTTACATTTTACAATTATTATTTACTTAAATCAAATAAAGGAAATAATGCTCATCTTTAGATTATTACAGCAAAAAACATGTATGTTTAGCTAATCAAAAACATGCGTATATTTTCGAAGCCAAGTTGCCTAAGGTATAATTAAAGCAAGATAAATAAATTAATTTGTACGGGAAGACTCAGATAAGCGGTATTTTGTCAATTTTTCTTCTGTCGTCTTGGATAAAAAAACTACTCTGTTCTTCAAAGAATGATAATTCTCTTGGCATGTATTGCAAGATTTGATTTTTAAAAATACATATAATTTATCGAAATCTTTGTTGCTTCTATTTTTTGCAGTTTAGTATGATGCACACTTTGACACAATTTTTAGTATAATAGTATATAACGAACACTTTTAATTGACATCATCGATGAAAGTATTGGGATTTGCTGCAAATAGAATGGCCGTTGACATCAGGTTTTTACAATTTCCAAAAAACAAGCGATACCAGTAGTGTTTCGCTCAACGATCTTTGAACTACAGACTTCAAGTCAGTAACAGAACGCAATCAATTCGGACTACTATGCCGAGTTCAAATTAGGAAATTCTGGGTAATTTAGTTTGCAACCACCTTGGCGTAATTTGGCGATTTGTTTAAGAATAATGGTAATTTCTAATCAGAGACAGTTACTTATTCCATATCATCCATACTATTATGTGCATAGTTTATTCGATATTTATTATGGAAAGCAATTTATAAAACTACTTACAAACGGTGTCTCCCATGTGTAGTCATTCCAGTCTTATCGGTCGTTTCTCTTTCAAGCAAAATATAACACTCGATAATTTACTCCAACAGAATATAAATTTGACATCTGTAGTAAATGGCAAGCTATTCTTGACTATATTATTCCTGCAAAGTTTCACTTCCTTCGCAGGCAAATTGCACAAGCGTATATTTCAAAATTCAGCTGAAAACCAAAAATATCGCATTGTGCCATTAAAGCTTCTAATACAACCTAAACAGCATGTACGAAAATTGCGACGTTGCTCATTTAATTTTACAATTATCGATATGGTTACCTAAAAATTGTTATGTGCATGTTTTCTACAGTGTGGGGACTTCTACCAAGGTGTTTGCGATAATACCAAAGTTCCAGTTCTGCCAGGGGGGGCTACAGTAAGAAACATCAATAAAAGCACTGGGTGGAGAGGGAACTAATGAAAGATCCACTCGCCGTTGGTTTGGAAATTACGTTCAGGAGACTTGAGGCTACTAAACGAACCCTGTGATCAATGTCTTTCCTCCATTGATTCCAACAAATTAAGGGATTTATTCGAATCAGATCCACGACAAACTCTACGTGAGATAATCCAGTCACTACATATACGCTTTTAAACTTTTTCATGGCAAATGACAATAAAAGGGCAAAATAAGGAAGTTTGGGAGATGAAAAACAAAGTATGGTGCTTGGTAGTTTACTTTCCTCTCTTAAGAATAATGCAAGAAAGGTTCCTACAACAAACTGTGACAATAGATGAGAAAGGGATATTCTACGACAGATTTGCACATTACGCCAACAAAGGTTGGGAGTAAAAGACTATCCAGAAAGGACTCGTAGGCACCTTTGCCTACAAAGAAGATATTTGCTATATGTTGCTGGTGTTATTTACTATTCATTCCTTTCACGAAGTAAAATGATAAATGCAATCCAATATTGTACAGATATACGGCAAATGCACGAAAAATTGTACCTTAACCAATTAAAGAAGAAAGATAATCTGTGACTTAGAAAGTTATTACTTTAGACAACGCCCAACCACATGCGGCAGTGTTAACCATGCAGCAAATTAACAATTTCTGATAAGAAATTGTGTCTCATTCTCCACACTTTCCTGACTTTTCCTTAAACCTTTATCATTTTTTCTAGCATTTGAACCATTTACTTGTTCAATAAATGCTTTGGAAATGAGGCATCAATTTATCCAGCAGTGGAGAAATTCATCACTTCAAGCGGCATTGATTTTTACAAATGTGGTGATAAATGACCTTACCATACGTTAACAACAATACATTGATATTCCTGAAGATTGCATTGATTAAATACATATTGTTCTTGTTCTTTTTTTTCCCCAAGCAATCCTTAAAATCTGCCACTTGGTTTACAAAAACTTAATAGATACTCGAAATCATTTTTAGTTTATGCAATAAAAAGCATTAACTTTTGAGAAATTAGAAAATAAAAAATACTTAATCTAAAAAACAGAAACTAACTCCTCTTATCGATTCAGTCCAAGTTTACTTCACCAACTTCGATGAAGAGGGATTTTCGCTAAACAAAATTCGGCGTAAATTGAAATAATAAACATAATTCTCTTTTCCCTCCTAACTTAAGGTAATTTAAACTAAGGTAATTAAACGTATTACTGCATTTAAGAAATTATTCAAGTGATTCCTTCTTGTGGAATTGCTTTGACTAAAAAAAAAAACTTAAAATAAATAGCAATCTGAAGGGTTCAGATTACATTCAAAAAAGAGTTTACCCTAAAAAATTTAGAGTTATAAAATTCTTAATTAAGCAAAAAATATAAAAAATCAAACATTAAAAAAGTGCAAGGTGACCTTCACTATTAAGATTCTTATTTACCACACGAAACAACATTAAGCGAAACAGGTACTATAAACCTCTTAGTTCAAGAAATTCAAGATGCTAAATGTAAAATCTTGCACGTAAAATGAAATATTCAAAATAAGAATACAAAACTGTAGCGAAAAGAATTTGTAATGGTATCGCTCTAACATACAACACCACGGATTTTTGCAGTTATTTCATAATGAAAGCAGTTAATTTTTCAAGAAATAAGTGAGCACTTTTTTCACACTGGATCGTAATGTTTAAGCTCGAGGCTTGCAACAAATATTTCTCACAATTAAAGCGCTTTTTTTACCCGGACATGGTCGGTTTGGTTTATTTAATTACGGCAAAGTACACTACGGCTATCTGCCTAAGGAGAGGGATGCCTTCATGGAGGACTTTCTAAGGGAAACTGGCTCGTATACACGTTATACAGGGGGAAAACCACGAAAACGCCCATCCAGCCAGCCCGTTCGTGGGATTTGAACCTCGGACCGAACTACTAGTGTTCAGTGACTTTACTGCTCGGCCGCTGGTGGGCCTTACCAGGACATGGATTTGCTTAGTTAAAACAATAATACTTTCCTTTGAGATTTTAATAAGTTTTTTCATATTTTGAAATCGCAGTATACTGAAGAAAGTGAACTAAGTGGTAAACTGGTCGGTTTTTGTAGACTCATTATTCCTATGTATGAAATTTAGTTGATTATTCTAACATTACAGAACAGTTTGTTGGAACTGCAGGTATGTATTACGGCATTACGACAAATTTCTTGCACTTATTAAATGTGCCGCATAATAACCAATATATGCAGATATTTTTAACAAAAATAAAATCAGTATGAGTTGTTTTCCTATAGCTGATATGATGCATGAGTTCAGTTGATTAATTTAGGGAACCTGATACAAATTACGCTGGTGGTATTTTAGAATGATCACGCCCGTATTCCCTTAATGTCATTTTAGTTCCCAAAACGAATCCTGTGTCTTATTTTCGTGAACTTATAGGGTTAAAATTTAACTGATATTCCCTGAAAACTGCGATTCTCTTTTTAAATCAACCCCAAATGCCACAGAGGTCTATAATGAAAGACTGACACAGTAAATCCCCGCTTGTTCGAAACCCGGCTTAACGGTATCGGCAGATAAATACTGGATCGTTAAATCCAAAAATCTGGCCTACAAATCTTTTTTAAACTAATGTTTTTCGCTGCTCAATTTTGTACAAGCAAATATACATTTTATATTGAAACATGTAATCTCTGGATATATTACAAACAAATTTCTGAAATAAATCTCAGTACAAGAGGAGACTACAAGTAACTACATGCACTGATTGACTTCAAGTGCCTTTCCGCAAATTTTAATTGTCATTAATTATGTCAATTAAAAATTCTGCAAAACGTATCTTCCTATATAAATATATATGAAAGTTGCAAAATTATTAAAAACATACAAATGACAGACTCTAGAAAATTTTTACAATGTTTTGCCGTACAACGGAAATCAACGTCCATGAGAA